TTGGTTTTGGGGGGGCTGGAATGGCACGAATTCATATTTAGGATGGACGATGGGGCAGAGTCATATGTAGATTGCAATGCGCAAGCGGGTGCCGATCATCCCCAGGGGGGGTCGAGTCTATTGTATTCTGAACCTTTCGCGTATCCCCACCAGCCCGTCCAGAAATGAACCCCAGGGGAATGGAAGTGATGAGGGAAGCGGGGGAGCATGCAGAAGAACAAAGGGCGGGGTAAACCGCCATATGCCCCAAGAGGGGGAGGATGTATCGGGCCGGGCGAAAGGGGGGGATTGGGAAAGGGGGGGTTACGAAATTTGCTGCATGCAGCTGGTTTCGGCCTCACCGAGGGGCCCATTCCTCGATACATGGGCGCTTGCGGCGCCGGGAGGCGCCGGGAAAATCAGCTACGTGAGCTGATCTCAAACCCCCCTTTGCTATCCCCCCCTTTCGCCCGACCCGAATGTAGGAGTCGTCGTCGTCGTCGTCGTCGTCGTCGTCGTCGGAGTAGGAGGAGGACGAGGAGGAACATGAGGAGGAGGAGGAGCAGGAGAAGATGGGGGAAGAGGAGGAGGAGGACTATGAGGAGGAGGATATGGAGGAGGGCGAGGACGTGGAGGACGAAAAAGAGGAGAAGGACAAGGAGGAGGAGGAGGAGGAGGAGGAGGATGAGGAGATGAGGAGGAGGAGGAGGAGAGGAGGAGGAGGAGGAGGAGGAGGAGGAGGAGGAGGAGGAGGAGGAGGAGGAGGAGGAGGAGAGGGAGGGGGAGGAGGGAGGAGGAGGGAGGAAGAACAAGAAGAGGAGGAGGAGAGGAGGAGGAGGAGGAGGAGGAGGAGGAGGAGGAGGAGGAGGAGGAGGAGGACGAAGAGGAAAAGGATGAGGATGAGGAGAGGAAGGGAGGAGGAGGAGGAGGAGGAGGAGGAGGCGGAGGAGGAGGAGGAGGAGGAGGAGGAGGAGGAGGAGGAGGAGGAGGAGGAGGAGGAGGAGGAGGAGGAGGAGGAGGAGGAGGAGGAGAGGGATGGGGAGGAGGGAGGAGGCTGACAAAGAAGAGGAGGAGGAGGAGGAAGAGGAGGAGGAGGAGGAGGAGGAGGAGGAGGAGGAGGAGGAGGAGGAGGAGGAGGAGGAGGAGGAGGAGGAGGAGGAGAAGGAGGAAAGGGAGAGGGAGGGGGAGGAGGGAGGAGGACGAGGAGGAGGAGAAGGATAATGGCGAGCTTGGGGGCCTCTTGGGCCGTCTTTGGGGCCTCTTGGCGGTGCTGGGGGCCTCTTGCGTATCTCGGGGAGCCTCTTGGGGCCTCTTGGGGCCTCTTGGGGGTCTCTTGGGGGCCTCCTGGGGGCCCCTTGGGGCCATCTTGGGGCCATCTTGGGACCTCTTGGGGCCTCCTGGGCGCTTTTTGGGGCCATCTTGGAGGAGATCTATCAAAGAAGGGGGGGGACTTAGCGTCGCCCCCCCAGGAGGCCAACATGGGGCCAAAACCTTAGTAAACTCAATGATTTTGGCTTCCTCGCCGAGGCCATCTTGGACGCTCTGCCGGCCAGCGCGCCCCCCGTCCAGGTCCAGGGGGGGGTAGGGGGAGGGGTAAACCCTTCCCCGAAGGGGAAAAGGAGGGGTGGGACAGGACACTCCCTAAACCACCTGCGCCCAGAGGGCTGGTGGGATTTTAGGAAAGGAGAATCCCCCCCCCCTTCTTTGATAGATCTCCTGAAAGATGGCCCCCCAAAGCGCCCAAGAGGCCCCAAGAGGTCCCAAGATGGCCCCAATATGGCCCCAGGAGGCCCCCAGGAGGCCCCCAAGAGACCCCCAAGAGGCCCCAAGAGCCAAGAGGCCCCAAGCGGTTCCCCGAGATACGCAAGCGGCCCCCAAGACCGCCAAGAGGCCCCTAAGACGGCCCAAGAGGCCCCCAAGCTCGCCATTGTCCTCCTCCTCCTCCTCCTTCTCTTTTTCTTCCTTCTCCCTCCTCCCCCTCCCTCTCCTCCTCCTCCTCGTCCTCCTCCTCCTCCTCCTTCTCCTTCTCCTCCTTCTCGTCCTCCACGTCCTCGCCCTCCTCCATCTCCTCCTCCTCATCTTCCTCCTCCTCCTCCCCCGCCTCATCTTGCTCCTCCTCCTGCTCCTCCTCTTCCTTCTCCTACTCCGACGACGACGACTCCTCCTACATCCTCCCCCTCTTGGGGTCTATGGCGGCTTACCCCGCCCTTTGTTCTTCTGCATGCTCCCCCGCTTCCCTCATCACCTCCTGAGGCGCATTTCTGGACGGGCTGGTGGGGATATTTTTTTTGGTCGGCGGCTCCGAGGCGGCGGACAGGGAGAGGAAGGGGCTGGTGGGGATACGCGAAGCGTTTAGAATTCCTTCCTGTCTGCAGTGAATTGTCCATTCCACCGCTTGCGCAATCATCCCACCCGACCACCCGCAACTTGGCGGTTTGCAAAAACCATGCGGCGGCGATTGCGATGAATGAACGCTTGGAGTTGGCTGGCGCATCTCTGCGGCCGCGCTAGCCCGCGCATGCTCGCGCGCGCAGCGGCCAGCTAGTGTGGCGCGACCGACGCGGCCGCGGTGGCGGTGACCACTGGGGACTTCCCAGCGGGCACGTCAGTGCGAGTCGGCGACTTGGGTGGGCGCCGTATCATGGCAACGTCGACATGTGCAGATGCGATGATGATGGTACCGATACTGGTGACGATGATGACGGTGACGACGGCAAGGCCAGTGACGGCGGCGATGCTGATCGCGCCGGCGACGATGACGGCGCCCGCGCGTCGGTGATGAAGGTTTTGGAGGGAGTTCGACATGCGCGCGCGGCCGACCCGGGAGAGTGCTATTTGACTCGGGCCGTGCCCCCCCAGGGTTCTCGAGTGATTTCGACGTGCGGCGCGAGGGGCCCGTTTGGCCGAATCTTATGGAAATTGTGTGACCGAAATTATCGCAGGAGCGCGAGCGCAGGCATTTCGGAAAACTGCATTGCGCACCGTGTGGTTTAGATGTTTTCGAGGTATTCGATATTGTAATCCTTGCGAAACGTAGAATTTTCGAGCGATTTCGTCATGCGCGCGCGACGACGCGCGCGGGTGCACATCGCCCCGTGTGTTTGCACGGGATGCTTGCGACCGCGCGCACGCAAGGGCGTTCGAGCGATTCGGATAATGGCGCGCGAAAGTCCAGTTTGGTAGCGCGTTGCGAAAACGTTGGGAGAACGACAGAAATAATTCGTCAGAGCCCGAGCGCGAGCTTTTTTTGGGAGTTCTTGTTGCGTGGCCATTCGTTTTATGCACTTTCGGAGTCCATGATTTCGGCATGCGCGCGCAACGACGCGCGCGTGTGTCTTCGCCCCATTCTTGCAAGGGGGTCTTGCGACAGCGTGCGCGCGCAGGGGCGCCCAGAAAAATTCCGACGTGCTCGCGCGAATGGCCCGCTTGGAAGCAATTAATGATTTTTTTTTTTTGTGAAATATGAACAAGCTCGCACGGGCCCGAGCGCAATCTGTTTTTGAACATTCTTATTGCGAAACCATTCGTGTCCACCTTTCCGGGGCACTCGATTTTGATATCCTCGCGAAGCCAGAAGTATCTGAAGGATTTCGGCAATCGCGCGCGACGGCGCGCGCATGTGCACTTCGTTCAGTTTTTGTGCAATATTTGAAAGCGTCTGATTTTCGATGGTCGACTGTGCGCGCGCATTTTCCCGCAGGATGAGAGGGGGTGCCGATGCCGGCCTGCCGGGGATGGGCGATGGGGCAGAATCACATGTCAATTGCAATGCGACAAGGGGGTCCGTTAATTCTGGGGGTGGGTCGGGTGGGGTGGGGGATGTTATGTTGTCGCAACCTATATGGCGCAACCTATGTTGTGAAATGTATGTTGTGCTGTGTAACTGGTGCAACCTATGTGGTGCCATGTCGGTGGTGCAGTGCATGTTGTGCCTCTATGTGATGCGCTCTACGTGGTGCAATCTAGGCCATGCAATCTCTGTTGATCAATAGACTTGGTGCGATCTATGTGGCGCAGCTTGATTTTAACACACGAATTGACGCATCCCACGCTCTTGCGAACGCCCCGCCCACCCACCCGCGACTTGGTTTGCAAAACCCATGCTGTGGCGATTGCGATGCATGCTTGGTGTTGGCTGCTGCATCTCCGCGGCCGTGCCGACCCTGGCGCGCGCGCAGCGGCCAGCTAGTCTGGCGCCGCCGACGCGGCTGCGGTGGCGATGGCCGCTGGGCCCATCTCAGCGGGCACTTCGCTACGAGTCGGCAACTTGGGCGGGCGTGGTCTCATGGCAGCGTCGACTGCGGTAGACGCGGCGATGATAGCGGCGGTGCTGGTGGCCATGTTCGCGCCGACGAAGGCGCGGCCGGCGCGGGCGCCGGTGGTGATCGCGCCGACGGCGACGACGACGACGACGATTACGCGCCGACGACGATGACGGCGAGGGAAATTTTGGAAAGAGTTCGACGCGCGCGCGGCCGACTCGCGAGAGTGGCCCGCGTGGTTTTGTTTGACGCGGGCCATGCCCCCCCCCCCCCCCTGCGCGCGCACAAGGGCGCGCGAATGATGTCGGCGTGCGGCGCCAGAGGCCTGTTTGGCAGAATTTCACGGACATGTTGAACGCAATCGTGTGATCTTCTCAAGGATTCGCAAGCGCGCAAACCTGTTTTGAAAACTGTTGTTGTGAATACACATATATATATATATGTATATGAATATTTATATATATAGATGTGTGCATATATATATATATATTGTCCCATGTGTTCTCTCATCCTGTTTGTCAGCCTGTCTCGCCGTGGCCGTCTGGGCCCATGCCGTTCTCAAGTGCATCAATTCAGGGCGGCCCATGTCCTTTGCTTTCGCCCGCGGGCTGGGTGCTGGCGCTTCCCTCCTGCTGCCAGACCTGGGCTGGGTCTCATCGCAGGCGAGTGCGTGCCTGGTGGCCGCGCAGTTCGCGGGCTCTCTTCGATTCGCCTTCGCGCTGACGTTCTGGCTGGGCGTGTTCGTCGGCTACGGCATCCATGGCTGCAGCCGCGGGTGCCGCAGGGGCGGGCGGGGGTCCCTTGCTGAAGAGCGGCCAGCGCATTCTCGTCCAGTGGCGCGCCAACGAGCCTTGGCAAGCCCGAGGTCTGGTGGCTCCAGTGACGACTGGGGAGTACGAGGAGTGCGCAGGCGAGGAGGCCCCCGAGGGCGCCGTTCAGAGAGTCCTGATCTGGTACGCTGTCACTCCAGACGGGGATATCTACCCGCACTGCCTGCCCCCCCCCGCGGTGGCGGGGGTGGTTCCTTGCGACGCGACGGGCCAGCCCAACCGCGCCCTCGGCATGGGCGCTCGACTGCCTCGGGGGAATCCTCAGATCTACGGGCGCCAGTGGCAGCTCGACGCGAGGCAGTTCTTGGGCGCCCTGGAGTTCGTGACGGGCGAGGATTACGGCGAGAAGATACGCGATCAATGTCGGAGACAGGAGGGCCGCGTGCAGCTTTTGGGTTCTCTGGTTCCGAGTGAGTGGGTGGGGATCGCGGATGCCCTCCCCGACCCCGCGCCCGACAAGTGGGTCCAGGTAGGTTCGTCTGACGGAGCTGGCCGCGCTGTGTTGCGCGACCTTGGCGTTGACTACGGAGTGGTGTGCTCGGGCCTCGCTATGTGCAAGAAAGGCGAGCAGACCTTCATCGTGAAGATCTCCAGTGGCGGGGGCGCGGGTCTTGGCGCCCGTGTTCTGGCTGTGGTGGAGGACGCAGACGGAGGTCGGCACCTTCCGTTTCGTGACGCTACCCGCTTGATGACGGTCACCGAGTGGGCCAAGTGGCCCCTGCAGGTGCCGAGAACGACTCATGTGGTGCTCCAAGTTCATCAGCGAGCAAGACATCGCGCCTCGGTCTCGTCACGCGAAGTGGCGGTCAGAGGTGAATCTCACGTCAGCGGACCCCGCGGTGGCGGAGCATGAGTTCTGCATGCGGGTGGTCCAACTGGCGGTGCACTATGACCAGTTGAACATATCTGAGCTGGCGGCGTTCGAGCTGGTGCTTCGACGCGCTCAGCTCGCTGAGTACAGGCTGAAGGATCGTATCTTGGGGTCTCGATCTGGTGCTACCCTGGGGGGGGGGGGGGGGGGGGGGCGTCGATGAGGATGAATATATTTATCTTGGTACGTCGGAGACTCGAGGAATGCTCATGATCGCCCCGTCGCTGACCTCACATATCTCGGAGGAGCTGCGCCGCGAGGCCACGATTCTGAAAGAACGACGGAAGCTTCGAGAGGAACGACAGTCCAATCGTGCACGGGACGGGCCTGCCGGTGGCGGCCGCGGAGGGCTCTCCGCCGAGGCGCAGAGCAGGATTGACCGCCTGACGGCCGAGAACAAGAAGCTGACGTTGGAGGGTGAAAGAGGGGGTCTGCAACAGGGGGTCTTTAATGGGGGCTGAATGGCCCATGTATGCTCAATGTACCGTTCATGTATGTGATCGGGTACGATTGGCATCCAATGCTGGCGGTCATTGATGGCCAGTCATTCGTGCCCGCGCGTTGCCCGCGCGGGCGCGCGCGCCGTCCATCCATTTTTGTTCATGCGTGCGGGCGTTCTTGCATATTGCGTGTGGGTCGGCGAAGTGGAGTGCAAGTGTGTCTTGATTGTGCGGTTGATGATCGCGTATGTTCCCAAACGATGACTTCTCGACCCCCAAGACAGATTTGGAATGGGCCCCGCGATTTTCCCAACATGTGAATTCACATTTTCCTTTTTCCCAAAATGTGAATTCACATTTTCCTTTTTCCCAAAATGTGAATTCACATTCTGGCCCCTTCATAAAGAATCCTAAACAAAATTCCAAAATGTGAATTCACACTTTCCTTTTTCCCAAAATGTGAATTCACATTTTCCTTTTTCCAAACATGTGAATTCACATTTTGCTTTTCCCCACAATGTGAATTTACATTTTGCCCCGGCCTTCAAGATCCCCAAAACTGAGGCGCAGTGGCCCGCATGTCAGATTGGCTGGGCAGATTTCGACACTCACCTGACCGCTTTCGTGTGTTCCAGCCTTTTCTTTTTGCGCCCTTAGCGCACGTTGCCTTCGTCGCCTTTCCCGAGCCCCCCGCCCCCTTGCTTCCTTTCCCCTCAAGTCTCGCGCGCGGGTGCAGGCGGGGGGCCTCGATTAGTTCCCCCGCCGAAAACAGCAATCGAGGATGCATCGCCCATTCATGGCCTTAAAGAACATCATTGCCGGGGCCCTGCGCCCGACCCCCACTTTCACCCTCCAGTGAAGGAGCAGACTACGACTGGCCCAAGCCCCGCCCAGGGATCCAAAGGGGCGGGCCGTGGCCAAGGATCGGGAGGCGGACAATGACGATTGGGGGTGCTCCCCCTTTGGCTCCACCCGCGGGATCGCGGGCGAGCCGCCGAGGGTTGCCGGTTCCGCGTGAGCTGCTCCCTGTACCCGTGCATTTACTTTCTACCCAGGCCTCTTCATGGTCCGCCTCCTCGACGCGGCATCGACGGGCGAGGGGGCGTCAGCGCTGCTTCTGCGACCTCTGGGCGCAGGAGGCCACCGCTGCGCTCAACTGGCTCTACGGCCAAGGCGGTGCTGGCGGCTTCGGCGCCCTCTCGCAGGCCCACCTCGTTGGGCTCGATCACCTTCAATCTCGAATTCATGGGCTTGGGCCTCCTACTTGCACTCCTGCGGCGGCCCTTCGGGAGCTGTGCAGTATTTCTCCAGGCTGCGACATCGCGCCTGTGAAGTCAGTGATGTATGCCGACGGTCTGGTGTCGCTCCGGACGGATCGGTCCAAGAGCAGTGCCCTGGACTCCCTGACTGGACGGCCCCATGAGTTGTGGAATCACTGGCCAGAGCACCTTGCGTGGTCCTGATAAACCTCGTGATCTCATGCGACCTTACTTTGATCAGCAGCTTCGTCGTGATCGTGTTGGGCAGCCTTGGGGATGCTGGCATGATTCGCTTCGGCAGCCGCAAGAAGCATACCCTGGGCTTGTTCTTGGTTCCCATGGATGGGAATCGCTTGCGAATGATTCTGGACACTCGCTTGATCAATCAAGAGTTTCGCGAGCCAGACACCGTCAACCTGCCTAGTGCGGGATGCTGGCGCAGCCTTCGAGTCCACCCAGCCGAGAAGTTGCACCTCGCCCAGGTGGACATTGAGGCGGCCTTCTATCGCATCCAGTGCCCGCCAGGCTTGGAAGAGATGATGATCCCCCCACATCCGCCGCCAGGACCTACTCACGGCGAGGCCCGACATCGAGCTCTCGGGGCTAGAGGGCAAGGTCTTGGCGCCTCGCCTGCTGGTGCTGCCGATGGGGTGGAACTGGAGCTTGTTCTTCTGCCAGTCGCTTGTGGAGAGCCACGTGCTGCAGGCAGGTTTTGACATGGACAGGCAGGTCGCCGACGGCAGGGTCATCCCCGACGTGTCTCACGACGCGGCCGCCACGACCTACGTGGACGGGGTCGCCGTGCTCGGGAGCTGCCACGCCGCTGTCATGGACGGGGCCAGGCGCGTCGAGAAGGAACTTTTGAGCGACCACCTGCTTTGCAAGGGGATCGAAGCCCCTCGAGCGTCTCAGAAATTCACAGGTCTCACCTTCGATCAGGAGTCGGCCGCCGTCAGCCTCAGCCCAGCCCGCCTATGGAGGCTACGCCTGGGTTTGCGCGGGTTGGCCGATCGTGGCTCCTGCGCCGGAGATGATATGCTACAAGTCCTGAGGCACTTCGCCTGGGCAGCCCTCTTGAGGCGAGGCCTGCTGTCCATCTTCACTATGAGCTACAAGTTCGCCGACTGGGCGGGCCCTCGACACCGTCGGCTCTGGAAGGGCGTCATCACCGAGCTGCGTGCGGCCTCGGCGCTCATCGCCTTTGCCTTCTATGATGCGAAGCGGGTCGTCGATCCCAGGGTCCTGGTCTCCGACGCCTCCACGGGCGAGGGCGCTGAGCATGCTTCAGGCTTCGGCGGCTACGGCGTCGCGGAGAAGCTCTGGGACACCGAGAATGTCTGGGCCGCCATCGCTCGTACCGAGCGCTGGAGGTACGCCACCGATGGGGGCCGTGCAGGCTCGTGCCCTCGCGCTTGGCCTGGAGGCCGAGACGCGACTGGCGCAGCAGCGGCATCGAGGGCCCCGCAGGACAGGGTCGACGGCGGGCGCCGACTTCATGCAGGTTGACACCGACATCTTGACTAGCGACGACGGCATCGTCTGAGAGAATGCGCCTTTTGCGGTTCCCGAATTCTGATCTTGTGTGATAGCATGAGCGTAACCTTGGGACTGGAGAAGGGTCGATCATCCTCGCACCTCATCAATCAGACCGTCCGTGAAATTACCGCTCTCTCCATCTTTTTCAACGTGGCCGTCTCGGTTCGCTGGGTCGCTTCAGAGCACAATGCTGCGGGCAAGCTGTCCCGCGCCATCGGCCGACCCCCCCGAGACCCGCAGCTTGACCCCCGCCATGCTCGCGCGGGCGGCGACGCCGAGCTGCAGCAGCTCGCCGAGCAGGCCTGGGAGCGGGAGCTTGAGGAGGCCGCGTTCGCTCGGGCCGCTGGGCGCGGAGGTATCGGCCTCGGCCCCGAGCACGGGGGCGCCGACCAAGTGCCTGAGGGCGACTGGGCTGCGGCCCACTCGGGCCCTGCCGCGGCCTGCGACAGCTACGACGCCTCCAGCTCCTCAGACAGCTCCGCAGATGAAGAGGGGGACGGGGGGCCATCTGAAGGCAGTGCGGCTCCAGGCGAGGAGAGCAGAGGAGCGCCAGAAGCGACGCGGATCTGTACCAGTGGGCGCCTTGAATGGGCTCACCTTCCTGCAGAGGTACAAGGTGCAGGAGCACGTGCAGCGGGTGTTCGACAGCGGGTTCGACGCGCTGGTGCAGTGGAGCGGGCGAGACCACGTCCTCCGCTTTGCGACGCCTGCGCTGGACATGCTCATGGCGCAGTACCTGGACCACCTGTACTGGAGCGGGTGCCCGAGCGCCAAGGTCAGCCGCGTGCTGGCAGCCCATCCACCACTGGCGGCCTGCCTTGGGGAAGGCGGCTTCAGGGGGCCTCCTGGCCTCGAGGGCTGCGCTGGCGGGGCTCCGCCGCCACAGCCGTTCGGTCTCGAGGCTACCGCTGGCGAGGCCGTGGGTGCTGGGAATGCTCGGTGTCAGCCTGCTCGAGGGGGGCACCGAGTTCGCCTCGCCCTGCTGGTGGCGTGGGGCGGGCTCCTCAGGCTGCCAGGGGACCTGGCCTCCATGACCAAGGACTGGGTCGTGGGGCCTGGGGGCGGGCCGACTGCTCGTTGGGCTCTGTTGCTGTGCCCCGAGGGCGAGCAGCGGCGCAGCAAGACCCACGGGTGCGACGAGGGTGTGCTGCTGCTCGACCAGGTTTGGAGCCGCGAGGGCGGCCAGGCGCTCAGGCAGCTGCTGGCCAGGCGACGCCCAGGACAGCCGCTGTGGAGCTTCGGCCGCGGCGAGTTCGGCCGCGCCTTCGCGTGGAGGCTGCGCCTGCTGCCAGGCGCGCCCGAGGCCGTGCCGTGCCAGATGCGGCGCGGCGCGGCCAGCCGCGCGAGCGCCGTCGACCGCGTGCCGCAGTCGGTGCTCCAGGAGCGGATGCGGCACGGCTCGGCGCAGAGCGCCCTGAGGTGCAAGAAGCGCGTGAGGTACCTCAAGCTGCTCGAGCTGGTGCCCTCGGCGATCCAGCAGTGGACCGCCCGCGTCGAGAGGCGGCTCGGGCCGCTGCTGCTAGGCCAGGAGCGCCCTCCCACGCCTCCGTTCAGAATTCAGACAGAGATGGTGAGCAGAACAAAAGTAGGCTGCGAGTGACTAGTTCTTTTCTGAAGGGGGCTCTGAAGTTCGGCTCAGCGTGGAGGCGCCAGTGGTTTCTAGAGGCAGGTATCGGAACTGGGTCCATCGCCAGAGCTGTAGATCCTCGGGATTTATGGTGCCATCTGGGTGAAGGGGGGGTGTTTGCGATCTCCCTATCGTTCGTCAGAGGCTGCTTGGTTGGATCTCTGCGCGGTGCATTCGAGGAGCTTGTTTTATCCTGCCCCGCCGTAGTTTGCACCCCCAGTTTACCAACCTGGCCCGTTTAGTTTTGTCTGCCTCTCAGGTCGGGTGCCCTGTGATCTTGATCGACCCCCGCCCTGAGCACCTCCGAGAGGCCTGCAGCGTCATGAGACCCCTTTTTGAGTTCCCGAATGCCCAAAGTACCATCGTGTTTCAGTGCCGTCTTCAGCGTGCCCCCCCCCATCAGGATTGCTTCATTCTTGCCTTTAATTGTAGCTGGCGCCGGATAGATCCTTTGCCGTGTTCTCATGTACGTAACAAGCATAGCTATGAATTGCCTCTGTGTAGTCATCCTCCCTCCTCCCCTCACGTGCGTCTGGGCTCGCGGTTGTCCGGAGCCGTGGCGGGTTGGATTCGTAACAGTGCCGAACAGATAGTTGACTCCCACCTCTTGAGGCTTTTCAGCTCGTAGTGTTGTTTGTTTTTGAGCAAAGGACGGCCAGTGCTCCCATATGGGGGGGTTCGGGATTGGCTGAGCTAGGCTCCGTGGAAGCAGAGTTGCCTGCCCGACATCGTGAAAATATGCAGACGACTCTGGAGTAGCATTGTTTGCATTGTGCCCTGGCCACGGGATAGGGCCCTGACCTTGTCCGACGTGGTCTCTCATCCTGTTGGTCAGCCTGTCTCGCCGTGGCCGTCTGGGCCCATGCCGCTCTCAAGTGCACCCGCCCACAGACCACCCACGCACGTGATTCCTTGAAGTAATTGATCCAAAGGGATTGGCTGAGCTAGGCTCCGTGGAAGCAGAGTTGCCTGCCAGACATCGTGAAACTATGCAGACGACTCTGGGGTAGCATTGTTTGCATTGTGCCCTGGCCACGGGATAGGGCCCTGACCCATATATCTGTATGTATATATACATATATGTATGTATGTTTTTTTTCTGTTGGGGCATCGGGCTTACTCGCCGCGGGGCCGAAGTTTTTTGAATGATTTCGGCACGCGTGCGCGAGGACGCGCGCGCGTGCACTTCGCCCATTCTTTAGAAGCGGAATCTCGCGACGGCACGGGCGCGAGGGCGTTCGGGCGATTGTGGCGTGCTCGCGCGAAGTCCGTTTTGTAGCATTCCTTGGAATTAATGAAAAACCTGGGGTTTGGTGTAAAGTATTCGCAAGAGTGCGCGCAACAAAGTCAGCGCTGCGAAACTAGCTATGTGTTTTTACGAACGGCATGTTTATACTACATGTCTTTTGGGCATTCGATTTCTGGGGTCCTTGAGCGACCTGGAGTTTTTGGCGGATTTCGGCGTGCGCGCGCTCGACGACGCGCGCGTGTGCACCTCGTCCCTTTTGCAGGGGATTCTTGAAAGCTGGCGGTTTTGGATGAGCGAGTGTGCGCGCATCGTATTTTTAGGAAGAGGGTGGGGGGGGGTCGGGGCCAGCTGGGCCGGGGCGGTCTGAATTCATATTTAGGATGGACGATGGGGCAGAATTATATGTGGTCCGCCCGTGCAGCCGGGGAAGTAGGGCCTATAGAAAGGAGAACTGACTGCCCTGCGCCGCGCAAGACCACTTCTCAGTCTCTTGAAATCATCCCTCCCAACCTCCCACAACTTGGTTTGCGCGGCCCATGCGGCGCCGAATGCGATGAGTGCTTGGCATTGGCTGGTGCATCTCTGCGGCCGCGCTAGCCCGCGCATGCTCGCGCGCGCAGCGATCGGCTAGTCTGGCGCGACCGACGCGGCCGCGGTGTCGCTGGCCGCTTGGCACTTCCTGGCGGGCACTTCAGTGCGAGTTGGTGACTTCGGCGGGCGCGGTGTCATGGCAACGTCGGCGACGGTAGACGCGATGATGGTAGTAGTAGCCATGGTGGCGATGTTGGCAACGACGACGGCGAGGCCAATGTCGGCGCCGATGCTGGTCGCGGCGACGACGATGACGGCGTCCTCGCGTCGGTGATGAAGGTTCGGGAGGGAGTTCGACATGCGCGCGCGGCAGATTCGCGAGAGCAGTCGCATGGTATTCTTTGGGGCTGATCGTGCCCCCCCCAGCATGCGAGCAAGGGCGTTCGAATAATTGCGGCATTCGGCGCGAGAGGCCCGCTGCGCATAATTGTATGACAGTGTTGAAACGCCCATGGCGTGTATGTATGTATGTATGTCTGTATGTATGCATGCATGCATGCGTGCATGCATGCATGCATGTATGTGTATATATATGTATATGTTCATGCATATATATATATATATCATATATATATGGACACTCGGTATTGACATCGTTGCGAGACTGGAGGTGTTTGGCGAATTTAGGCATGCGCGCGCTGCGACGCGCGCGCGTCGTTGCGCTTTTCGGGAGTGGATTCTCGCGACGGCGCGCTCGCAGGGGCGGTCGAGCGATTTCGGCATGTGCGCGCGAAACATGTTTGGTAACATTTTTTTTGGTCGCTTGGTTTTTCCTTCTAAAGAATTCACAAGAGCGCGCGCAAGCTTCTTTTGAATGCCCGTGTTGCGACATCTGTGTTGATGTATGTATGTACAGGTGTATACACATATACAGTTATACATGCACACATTTTTTTGGGTCGTCGAGTTTGAAATCCTTGCGAAACCTTTCGTTTTTGAGAGATTTCGGCACGCGCGCGCGACAGCCCGCGCGCGTGTTCTTCGTGCCACTTTTTCCAAGGGGTTCTTGAACACTGACGTTTTTTACTTAGCGAGTGTGCGCGTATCGTAGTTTTTTGCAGAGGACGGCGGGGGGGGGGGGTGCCAGTTCGGCTGTGATGGTATGAGTTCGTATTCAGGATGGACGATGGGGCAGAACCAGATGTAACTTGCAATACGCAAAGGGGTAGCGATAATCCCAGCGGGGGGGGGTCGGGTTTATTCTCTTTGAAGAAAGGAGAATCAATTTCTTTCGCAGTGAGTTGTCCATACCAATGCTCGCGCAATCATTCCAGCCACCTGCCCGCAACTTGGTTTGCAGAACCCATGCGGCGGCGATTGCGATGAGTGCTTGGGGTTGGCTGGTGCGTATCCGCGGCCGCGCGAGCCCGCGCCTGCTCGCGCGCGCAGCGGCCAAATAGTTTGGCGTGACCGACGCGGCCGCGGTGGCGCTAACCGCTGGGCATTTCCCGGCGGGAACTTTAGGGCGACTCGGCGACTTGGGCGGGCGCGGTATCATGGCAACGTCGACGACGGTAGACTCGATGATGATGGTATCGATGCTGGTGACGATGATGATAGCGAAGATTGCATGGCCAGTGACGGTGCCGATGCTGATCACGCCGACGACGATGACGGCGCCATCGCGTCGGTGATGAAGGTTTTGGAGGGAGTTCGACATGCGCGCGCGGCCGACGTGCGAGAGTGGCCCGCATTGTGTTATTTGACACGGCTCGTGCCTTCCCAGGCCGCGCGCAATGGCGGTCGAATGATTTCGACGTGCGGCGCGAGGGGCCTGTTTGGCCGAATTTGATGACAATGGCGAAGCACCGATGGTATTTTTCAAATATCGCAAGAGCGCGAACGCAGGTATGTTTGAACGTTGATTTTGGCAAACCAAGTGATTTTAGATGCTTCCGAGGCATTCGATATTGTAATCACTGCGACACGTACGGTTTGCGACAGATTTCGCCATGCGCGCGCGACGACGCGCGCATGTGCATTTCGTCCCTTTTTTCCCGACGATGCTTGCGACAGCACGCGCCCACGGGCGTCAAACGTCTCCGACACTCACGCGCGAGAGGCCCGCTTGGTAGCCCATTATGAAACATGTTCAACTACTTATATATATGTATATATACTCGCAAGAGCCAGCCCGAACGCAACTGTTTGCTTGAAACTTCCATATGCATTGTATATGTATTGATGTATGTATGTATGTATGTATGTATGTATGCATGCATGCATGCATGCATGCATGCATGCATGTATGTATGTATGTATGTATGTATGTATGTATGTATGTATGTATGTATGTATGTATGTATGTATGTATGTGTGTGTGTGTATGTATATGTGTATGTATATATATATATATATATACATACATATATCGGAGGTTGGGGGGTGAGATCGGAGTGGAACGGAGAACCCCCCTACCGGGAAATCGATTTCGGTTTCGTGTTCGTGCGTGCCGTGCGGGCGAGGCGAAGGTGCGTGGGCGGGCGAGAGAAAGTCTCCTGTGGCTGAGGCGCGGCCGGACCAAATGACTCCCTTCCGGGCGGCCGGGGCCCCGCGGTGTCCCGCTGGTGTCCCGCTGGTGTCCCGTGTGGCTGAGGCGCGGCCGGACCAAATGATTCCCTTCCGGGCGGCCGGGGCCCCGCGGTGTCCCGCCGGTGTCCCGCTGGTGTCCCGTGTGGCTGAGGCGCGGCCGGACGAAATGATTCCCTTCCGGGGCACAGGGCGACCGCCGTCCAAGAGGCAAGAGGGGGCGCGGGCTGCGCCAAGCTTTGCCAGCGCTTCAGTCTTCTGTGGCCACATGGCGCCGTTAGCTGCCGTTGCGCAAGTTGGGCAGGTTCCC